TCTTCCCTCAATTCTTTCTTTTCCATACACTTTTCTTCCCTCCCCCCTTACTTCCTTCTCCCCTGCCTTCCCTCCTTTCTTTTCTCCTTTCCTCCTTTCCTTCCCCCTCCCTTCCCTCCCCCCCTCCCCCCCCCCTCTCCCCTACCTTCCCCCCTTCCCTTCCCCTTTCCCTCCTCCTTCCTTTTCTCTTAATCTCCCTCCTTTCCTCCCTCCTTCCTTCCTTTCAACTCTCCTTCTCTCTTTCTTTCCCTCTCTCTTTCCCTCTTTACTACCCTCTCCTCTTCCCTCCCTCCTACTAATGGTTGATATGTCTTGAGCGCCAGGCTTCCAGGAATTCGCTGGCATTTTTGGATTTAGCTTGATCTAGGATGTTCAGCGCTTCTTCAGTTGAAACTATGGTTGAGTCTGTCCATATGTTGCAAAATTAAGGAATTTTTATCATGTCTTCTGGTTGCTACTTGGTTGTCATGGATGCGCTCTGCTAGTTTTTCGCCTGTTAGTCCTACACAGTGACTGTTACAGTCCTTACACTGTATGTAATAAACACTCCTCCTCCTCCCCTTCCCTCCCTCCCTCCTCCTCCTCCTCCTCCTCCTTCTAGGGCTACTGGGACTTTTGGCTTATTTAGAATGTTTTGGAGGACTTTAGTATTGTTTGTGTTTGGAGAGAGCTTTATTATCCAAATGTGCCTAATCCTGTGTAAAGCTATTGGCAACTTTAACATTTTGAGGGAAAGAAGAAAGATATGCCTTACAGAAGTAACCAGAACAGCAGGAACATATTAAATTGGGACTGTGGGACTTTGTAAAAGATAAAACCTTGTCAGTGAATATTGCAATCCCTGATGAGGACAAGATTTCAATCTAAAACGAAGCATTTTGATATATATTTGCAGCAGAAAAAGAACTATGGTCCAGTCCAGAGTACACAAAGTTCTGTTCTAGGAAATGATGAAAAAAATACACAAAGAGCCACAACGGAGTAAATAAGTTCTTGGTTTATGTGCAACTTAACATAACACAATCGAATTTCTGAATTCTAAATGGAAGTTGCTCAAGAATATTTGGCAGTTGACAATATTCTGCCTCATTCTCAGAGTCTGTGTCAGGTGAAGTACAAGGCTGTATTCATCATTCAGCATATGGTACTGTTTTTAATAAAAGAGTTTGTCTTATGGGGATCAGTACTTTCATATTTAAAATAATTCCTTTCCTTTTATTTTATTTTTTAAATCCGATCTGCAAATAAAGATACCATGAAACTTCTCAGATAGCCTATAGGGGCCTGTCAAGGCTGGCTTGCTGGCTGATTTTTTTTTCTTTCTTTCTTTCTTTCTTTCTTTCTTTCTTTCTTTCTTTCTTTCTTTCTTTCTTTTTTTCCTTCCTTCCTTCCTTCCTTCCTTCCTTCCTTCCTTCCTTCCTTCTTTGTTTTGTTAAAAGAAAAATCCAGCTGGTTCAGTTCCAAGCTGGGCGAAAGACACTGGAAACAACATGGAGGCTGATTGGAAAGAAAGTTTATTAAGGAAGCAGAACCACCAATCACCACATGTGTTTAATTTACACAAATGTGGCAAGAAAAGTCATAAAATGGGACAAAATTCACTTAGCAAATTTCTCACTTAGCAACATAAAATTTGGGTTCAATTGTGGTCATAAGTTGAGGACTAGCTGTAGATAAAGAGGTACCAGTTTGGTGGGAAGGTAACAGTGTTCCCTGTTTTGCTGTACACTCTGAGCTGTGGCATGACGTCATTCTGACCACATGACTGTCGAAATGTCATTGGTCAATGCTGGTCAATGCTGGCTCAATGGCCTAGAAACGGAGATGGGCACCACTGCATAAAGTTGGTTAATGACTAGCAGAGTAAAATCCACAAGGACTCCTTTACCTTTACTTTTCCTTGTATGAAAGAAGATATTCCCATTGTTTGACACTGATATTACCTGTTGAGGCCCTGAAGCAACCTGTATCATACAACGAATGAAAACTACAAGCAAAATATTCTTGTCTTTATGAGTGTATATTGGTTTTTATGCAAGAAGGACACAAAGAGCTCCTTTGGGCCGGTTTGCTCAGGGACGTGCTTAGTGCGCATGCACAGTAGTAAAAAAATGCTTCTGCGCATTCGCAGAAGCAAAAAACAAGATGGTGGCAGCTATGGCGCCAATAGAACCAGTTTGGGGGTGTGGCTGGCCAAGTTACTACCTACTCAGCAAAACCGGTCTGAACCAGTAGGAATCCACCTCTGGTCTGCTACTACTTTACTTATCCTGAAGAAAGAGGAGAAAGGCAATGTAAAGCGACTTGCAATAATATGGATCTTAGCTGCAAATTTCTTTTTGCGTGTTAGATTTATGGATTTGACAAAACCTCTTGAGAGTCAGTAGGTTCCTGGTAGACAGATAATGTATAAGGAGAGGAATCATCTACTCTTCAGGTTCTCTATACTCCTTCATAACCTTTCTGATCCAATCCACGTAATTTGTCACTTTAGTGTAAAGACCATAAGTGCCACATTCTGGCCCCCATGAAACCAGTCCAGCAACATAATAGCGTGTGTCATTTTGGGGGTCTTTGATAGCATATGCCCCACCACTGTCTCCCTGACAGCTGTCCTGCCGGCCATCCCCAGCACAAATCATATTTTCTGTGAAGACATAACCTATGTCTCGTTTCACATTTCTGCATGTATCCATGTTCACCACAGGGATCCAAGCTGCCCTGAGTCTCACTGATAATCTAGGAGTTGTTCGAACCGCATCGGTCTTGCCCCAACCAGATATGTAGCCCAATGTCCCTACCTGTGGATCATATTCTGAGGATGTGCCAGGAAGGCAAATTGGAGAAATAGTGGGGCCCATTGTCAAAGGTTCTTTCAATCTTAAGAGAGCAATGTCATGATTAAAGTTTGTCCTGGTCCCTGATCCACTTTGGGCCCATTTAGGATGAATGAATGTATCCACTATCTTCAGTGGCTCAGTAGCACTCTTGGCCCTTTGACTCACATTGAACAACCCAGCATAGAGAACTGGGTACGGAACACCATCTAGCACATGAGCTGCAGTAAGTATCCATTGTTCTGAAATGAGGGCTCCACCAGCTCGTGGCTCATCAAAGTAGATTTGCCAAGGGAAATTTCCTTCTTTAGCAAGCGTGCCTCCATAAATCCTCCCTATTTCTTCAATACTTTTTTTGGGAATTCCACAAACTAAAGCAAAAACAGAAGAAACCATTTTTAGTCAGAGAGGAAGCAGAATAAATGTCAGAAACAGATATATTCAATTAACATGGGAGAAAAAGGAAAAATAGTATTGGTACAATACTATTGTACTATAGGCATAGCCCACTAAACCTACAATCCAGAGCATGATTCCTTGACCCACATAAAAAAAATACTAAGCCCAGGGACATCCAAGCAAGCTTCAGATTCTTCTTTGGTTCCTCTTTGGATTGTTCCTTATACTTCAATTGTTCTTTCCAATGTCCTAACAAGGATTCCCAAAATGATTCCTTGTTTTAGAACTTCTGGTAGGGTTGGTATTAAAGAAAGGTTTAAATCTTCCAAAACAAATTAAACTAATAAAATTCAGAGTGTGGCAGATCATTACAATTTTATAAAACTTTAAACTGGAGAAAGTTTACAAATTTTCTCTGGCAAAAGAGGTACCACAGAAAGTACTGTTATTTTGGAATTAAAAGAGAAGCAACATTATTATTTTGTAATTGCAACTTGATATGAACTTCATTTTTAGAGAAAAGCACAGAGAATTATACAGTAGATAGACTGTACCTGGCTCACAGACTGGAAGCCCTGATCTCCCTTCTTCATCAACCCATATTCCATCGGATGAACACTGATATGTTTCTTTGGAAATAAAGCAATTATTTATAAATACAATATTATCATTAATTCTGATTAAAAGACTATAAAATATATCACAAACTCCAAGAAGCATTCAGCTACGACTTACTATCAACCCAACAAAGATGTGTTTAAAAAAGTAACAATTGTAAAAGGAATTTATCAACTGATTTACCAAACATTTTAACCAATAATTTCTCTCTCTCTCTCTCTCTCACACACACACACACACATTTTGCTTTAAAAATTATTAAAGACAAAATTATTAATGAATATGGCATTCTAACTGAACAAATGAAACTGGAATGTGATAAATAAGATACTGAGATAATATAAGAAGATAATGGAAACAACTGAAAGAATATACAGTTGAGATTTGAAAAATAAAAACAAGGGGTTCGTGGGGAACAGAATAGCTGTGAGGGGCAGATAGAAAGTGAAGATCTGCTGTGTGGAGGCACAGAGAAAGAAGCACATAGCTTGCAGATGTTTCAGGTTGCAACCTCTGCCATGTAGTACACAACAGCCAAGGCGCCAGAAAGATCATAAAGACTGAACTATAAGGCGAGGAAGACTCATAAGATCATGATAATCTTGTTTCTTTGTATCACTATGCTTACTCTTCATAGTACTTCAATTTTTGGCAGGATACTTTTAGTGGTTCCCAGCCTAATGAACCTTCCCACCCCAATCCTGTCTTCCTGAGGCTGGCAACTGTAAAATGAGCAAAATGGTGTTCTTAATTTCTGACTTGGAAGGTTTCAGTGGAGGAAAGAAAGGATGGGACATACCTTTGCCCTTTATGGTATAATAAGGTTTGTGGCATTCGTAACGGATAGTGGTTTGATACTGTGTCTCCTCCGATCCTGACAGGTAAACGATATCTCCATGTTTAATGGGATCAGGCACACCACAGTCTACAGCTGCAAGGCAAATGAAAAACAGAGTGAGGCAGGATTAGAGTAGTTCACCTTTCCATTTTCCTTTATGTTGCATCCATCCATCCATCCATCCCATGTTGCATTATTTCTTAAGAGTAGCCCTCCTCAGGCAAAACTTCTATAGGTGAGTATTTCATGTCATATAAAGATTTTCAAACTATACTGGATTAAATGATTAAATCCTTCTCAACCTCCACAGCTTTTGACTATACAGCACCCATCACATACTCTGTGGTTGATCCAGCGTGGTTATATAATGGAAGGCTGACAGGCAGAATGGAACAACTCACTGCAGCCAACTCGCTGTGGCCACCTCGCCATCGCTAACTTTCCACAGCCAATTTACTGTGGGACAACTCACCTCAGGACAATTTAACAATTCAATTCAATTATTTAAAATAAATAAAACATATTTTAATGCTTGGCATTCATATTTTGTCCCTCCTTTTGCACCCGTTCTTTAATGATTCTATTCCACCATTTGTTTGATATTAGGGTAACTTGTCCCACAATGAGTTGACCCATGGCAAGTTGGCCATGGTGAGTTATCCCGTGATGAGTTGGCTGTGGAGAGTTGTTCGTGACAAATTGTCATAGCCCTGCTGACAGGTGTGAGGAAAATTATCTATAAGAGGATGATTCTTTAAAGTTTCTCTGAGCCCTGTGATTCATCTACTTTTACTGCTTTGGCAAGATATCTGTGTCTGCTTCTCAC